AGAAATATAATATAAGCTCCAGATTTTTCAGTTTTGTGCTTCTAGCATCTCTGTAACAAAGAGTAGGCGAAACGTTTGATAATCACATTCAGCATACGCATGATGTAACATCGCACCTTTTTACAACGTCAAATATCTTTTGACCTATGAATAGCGATGCTGTTCAATAGATCACGGGTCACAGTAAATTTGCAGTGCATGATAAAGTTAGGCAAATAATTTTATAACTTCCGGCTTCATACGCTGCAGCCGTCTATTTGGCAATTCGCCACAGTAGAGACATTTAAAACGTATGAAAGTTGTACAAAAGATACGGATTGAACGGCAAGTGGGTACTTAGAGTTACGTTCACGGAATTGGTAATAATAATTATCTGAATAATTATCTGAATTAATCTGAATTAATTTTATGTTTGACGTAATTTTTACCTGTGCTCTAAAATTAATGGTCGAAAACAACACGTTTTTTTGCTATAAGCTTTTATTAGCAATTAAGCAATGATTAATAAAATAATGAATTGTGATGATCTGAAAGACTGTAAGATAACTACGTGTGTATATAGATGTTAAGGCCTATATAAGTTCACTCTAGACGGTACCACCAGCCCAAATTTGCTGTAAAGCAGTCTTGAGTCCTATGGCGTAGAGCACGACCTCAAAGTTATCGGTGTCAGGAACTGGAAAGAGAAAGCTCTGCACAGAGTAGTCTGGAGAGACATGCTGGACCAGGCTAAGGCCCACCCTGGGCTGTAAGGCTAAGATGATAATGAGTCTTGAGTCCTGGCTGGATAGTAGACCCACCGATACATAATACAATAGAGAATCTATAGGCTCCGGAAACCACTTAGCACTGGGTTACTCTATTATTGACAGATTAATTACAATCTCTCGGTAATTCCTGTATCCAGAGTATTTTGTTAGTTAGCAACAAACATTCTAATTGCTCTATCTGACAAAATTTGAAATTACGCGGCGCGACTACTAAGTGACAACATTGATTTTATTAAATTGGAAGAAAATTAAAATGCAAGGCGCATGAGCTAGCCCGAAATACCGTTAGTTGAAACAGAGCAATAGTCCAAAAGTATCGTCAGTTCAGGTCGAAGATTTGATTTGAATAATAAAATTTCGAACTGGTTAATGAACTAAATAAAAAAGTTTAAAGTGGAATTTATATTTTCATCAATATGGACATAATTTATTAGGCACTGACAGTAAAATTTATGTATCATTCACAATTGAAAACACTACAAATACCTCTATGTGACATCTATGTAACATCTATCTATTTGTAATCTCTATGTGACATCTATGTATTTATTTATATAGCGATAAGTTTTAACAAATGTAACTTTGACTTCTTAGTTTCCAAAGCTACTGTGTATTTTTCCAAATCTGAGCTGAATGAAGTTTCATTGATTGTGAGATTATCTATCTATCTATCTATATATAAAAATGAATTGCTGTTCGTTAGTCTCGCTAAAACTCGAGAACGGCTGGACCGATTTGGCTAATTTTGGTCTTGAATTATTTGTGGAAGGCCAGAGAAGGTTTAAAAGGTAGACAAATATGAAAATGCTCGGAATTAAATAAAAATAACAATTTTGTTTTTCCTTTGATGTGTCCCCTGTCGGACGGATTCCTTTTGTTTTTTTTTTAAGTTTATTTTATACAAAAGTTTAGTTCTTTTATTTATCGATTGAGGCACTACGAAGTCTGCCGGGTCAACTAGTTTAGAATAAAAAGAATGAAACAAGGGTTGATATAATTGTAATTAGCGACTTAAAATAATGAGTAAGCTGTAATATTTACACAAAATCTATCATTACAATTTCATTTCAAGTTAACTAAATAAAACTTTTAATTTTTTGTTTCGATTTTTTTAATTTAGTTCATAAAATGGTGAGTGAAAATTGATAGGTTTTATTGGAAATTTCTACAGACAATAAATATTTTCTTAGGCTACCTTATTTTTTCTAAAATCATTTGTGGGTTTAGATTTGAAGGCTAGAACAGCCTCCATACAAGTGATATTTGTACTGTAGTACTGTACTACTAATGTAATTTATTGTGATAGGGATGTAGGATTGGTATAACGGAACGTATGAAAAGAGTGTGGAAGATGTGTGAAAGAGTGCTAAGATTTGAGTGAGAGAAAATGGTTAGAAAGGGAAAAATCATAAAAGAAAAAAGAGGATCAAGATGACCAGGACGATTGACTCAGCACTGAGTAAACAAGGTGTCAGTTTATTTATAAATGTAATACCAGGGAGAATTTGATATAAGAACAATAAAGCTACAATCCAGTGAATCAGTTTTATTTCATGCGCCTCGATTCCATTTCTACAGGATGAAAATAATAAATTCTGCTATTGATTTTAGGATATCAAAATTGAGAATTAAGGTGATGCGATTTTCTGAGATGTTTACAAACTTTAACGATTGCGTTCAAAGATCAGGTATTTTTGACCCAGCAACATTCAAATCAAGTTGGCATCAAATGTTTGGAAATCGTACATGTTGCGAAATCTAGACTTTAAAAATTTAACTAAGAATACTATTTTCGAGATGTTACAATATAGCCTGCATAATTAGTGAACAGATATGTTCTGATCGGGTCTTGTAGTAATTATAAGAGACTATTTAAAAAAAAATTAACTTACTAGTACAAGCTACACACATCTCCACGTGGCTACGATCCACAGCGGCGAATACACAAAATCCTGAACAACGGGCTTCTGATGGCTTGTATGTTCCATGGAGAACATACAAGCCATCTGAAGGAGAAGGAGTCCTCTTGTGAGCCCGCGCGGGTAGGTACCACCACCCTGCCTATTTCTGCCGTGAAGCAGTAATGCATTTCGGTTTAATGAGTGGGGCAGCCGTTGTAACTATATTTGAGACCTTAGAACTTATATCTCAAGATGGGTGGCTCAGTTACGTTGTAGATGTCTATGGGCTCCAGTAACCACTTAACACCAGGTGGGCTGTGAGCTCGTCCATCCATCTAAGCAATAACAAAAAAAGTCCATGGGCGACGGTAACTACTCACCATCAGGTGGACCGTATGCTCGTCTGCCTACACGGGCAATAAAAAAAGGCAAGCCACCGGCAAACTAATTTAAAATGGATCCCATTTGGACACCGAATTTTCACGCAATTCTATAGATAGTGAAAGCTGTTCTCGCAGTTTACGAGAAATGCAGGAGAGCTTAAACACCACGAACTTCAAACCTTTCACCTTCACGATCTCACTTCTTTTGCTTCTTTCTTCTTTATCCTATCCTATCTTATTTATTCCTAGGCCCTATCTCAGTACCATTAGAATTAACATGATTTACACTTCGAAGTGAAGTCTAAATGTGCTTGCTACAGTGTCAACATTACTTTTTAGCGTAAATAATACATATAAAGACATAAAATACATATAAAAATATTAACTGAAAACTTAACATATAATTTCAAAAAGATACACTTACCTATGTAAAACTCTTTAGAGGCCAGGGAAACCTGTGATATTTTACTTGTGGTTATTTTACTAGTGGTTAACTTACCTATACTTTGTAATCAGAATTTAAGTTTTATAGACAGTTGAGCGCTCTACATTTATTAGCCTTCTTCAAACGAGGCTTGCGGAGAGTACTTTATGGTAGGCAGTGGCTTGGCTCTGCCCCTGGCATTGCTGACGTCCACGAGCGACGGTGACCACTTACCATCAGGTGGGCCGTATGCTCGTCTGCCTACGAAGGCAATAAAAAATAATTCATTGGCTATTAGGATTTTATTATAATTCATGGACACCAGAAATATGTAAATACTCTATCCATAGAGGCATCTTTTGGGAAACGCACCTAGATCCGATTGTCCGATCAGTGAGAGCCGCAATTCAGTTGTACAATAAACTTTTTATAATCTAATTTGTATTTTATGTATAATTAGTTCAACGCTCTCAGCTTCACTTTCGTGGTTTAACACTTTTTACCGATAATTACTGAATACTCAGTAGTGAAATTAAAGGTTCTTTATTCTTTACCAGCGCCCAAATTACTGATTACCAAGTTACCGAATGTTTTCAAAATTAGTTCAATAGTTTGGGCGTGAAAATGTAACTGACCGACAGAGCTACTTTCCTAATAATAATGAGATTTACTTTGGAACTTCTAATATTTAATATCTAAATGAAACATATTTATCTATCTATATATATAAAAATGAATTGCTGTTTCTTAGTCTCGCTAAAACTCGAGAACGGTTGGACCTATTTGGCTAATATAATTTCTGGTCTTGAAATATTTGTGGAAGTCCAGAGAAGACTTAAAAGGTAGATAAATATGAAAATACTAGCAATTAAATAAAAATAACAATTTTGTTTTCCCTTTGATGTGGGGGACACATGCGGACACAGTCGGACGGATTCCTTTTGTTTGTTTTAAGTTTATTTTATATAATACAAAAGTTTAGGTCTTTTATTTATCGATTGAGGCAATACGAAGTCTGTCGGGTCAGCTAGTTTTGAAATAAGGACAAGTTTTCCGTAAAATATTATTTTAATGAAACAAATCCTAGATACTGCTCCGATATCTCTCCCATTATAAAAACTACACGAAAATTTGTTCACTAATTTCGAAAATAAATGCGAACAAACAAACATACAAAATACCGTTCAATTACTTTTCTTTGCTCTACTTTACGTTAAAAGAAAAGGGAACCCCTTTCTATTTTTGTTACTTTTTTTCAATATACAACACACGGAATCCTACAGTTTTATTTTATGTATTGATATGATTTTCTTCGCACTTAAGGCATCGCTAGACAGTTTAATTGTAACTCTTGTCAGCAACAAACAAAAATCGTGACGAATTACTATAACGCATTGTTAAGAGAAGATTAAAGAAACCACAGCTGAAAACAATGAATGCTGCATTAATAGAAGAATTCGAACCGTCTTTAAGTACCGGTTTGTGTACGTACGCAGAGCACGCGGCAAGAAAAGGCGCGCGCTACCACCGCAGCAGTCAGTCGAGTCGAAACCGTTGGCGCTGTCAGACTATCTAGTCATTAAAAAAAAATAAAAGAATATTTAAACAAAAAAAAGGTCATCATGAGAGTGTTCATCGTATTGACGGCAGTCGCTGCCATTGCAAGTAAGTTCAACATTACAAATATGTATAAGTAAAGATTTAAAAAAATAATATTGGCAAATGGATTTTCAATACTAAAACGGAACTTTAAATGAGATTTTTTGTAAAATTATGTCACCTTACTATTAAACACTGTTCCGTCTTGACGAAAAAAAATGCACAGAACATCGTGCAAATGCAATATTTCGATTGAAAAAAATTAAAAAAATCGTACGTGCTTTGTGTAAGGCGGTTAAAACCACCAAAGCCCTGTTTTCCGATTACGAAAATATCGTGTTCTGTTTCGATAATGTAACAATATCCTTGATATCAAATTATATATTCAGTAAGTGATTAATAATAAGCTATTCTGAATCTACACACATAGTGACTGTCGCGTAGCGTATGCTTAGGATTGCTACGAATAAATTCTCGTCATCTGAAAGATTTCAACGAGTAGAACCCATTTCAAAGAATTTACTACTCTGTAAAGAGACAAGACATAAAACAAAAAAAACCTGAAAGGCAAATGCATAGTAACGTATTATTCTATATATTTTATTTTTAGTTTAAAAAGATAAATTTAATGTCTCTATTGAAAGTTTAAATAGATTTAACCAAATTATTGAATTTGGTTAGATTTATTTAGATAGGTATTGTACCTATCTTAATTTGTAATAGTTGGTTACAAAGAAGCTTTAATAAAAGATTTTATAAAATATAATCATATTGCATGTGTCATTGGCTATAAGCGCAGATGCATTTAAAAAAATTATAGAATTTTTATTTCAATTTAATTTTTTTAACTACATAATAGAGCTCATAACATCTCAATATATCTACGTGATCACAATGACGGCAAATACGTACCAATTGTCATGATGTAATTGAGAAAGCGGTAACAGATTATGAAACATTATACAATTGGCGCTACGAATCGTTGAGTCTGCTAATTACGCGATAAACTGTTACAATCAATTGCGCTGACACGACATTAACTGTATGCAGAAATATAAAACGTTTGCATATTTCAAAATCTGGCAACACAAAGTCGCGATTGTGTTAGCTTGTCGTAAGTTTCACACCATTTCTTAAGCTAAAATAATACACACTGAAAAACTACAGGCCGCCTTTTAAATATTATCGATTATTCGAATGCTTCGGGAGAAAACGAAATTATTTTTCATTCTGTAATAGGGCTTAGGCAATTTAAAAAAGTAGAACAAATTGGTAATTGTCTTTAACGGCACATCACTAATATTCAACATATTTATTTTCATATCCAAATTTTAAAGTAATTAATACATAAGTGAATTTTTTTGTTCCGATTTCACGTCTTAACTATTCAACCGACTGTCATGAAACTTGTCTACACGTTGTCAAAAGTAGAAATGGATATCAAAATGGGTGCTATTTTTCATTCAGATTAAAATTTTGAAAATTCCTGAAGTATAAATGGTATTTTTTTATTATACCTTAACTCGGACGAAACCATGTCTATTTTTTATTGCTTAAACAGAACAACGATCTCATGGTCCATCTGGTGTTAAGTGGTTACAGGAGTCCATAGACATCAACAGCATAAATACCGCCACCCATCTTCATGAGCTATGTATAAGTCTCAGTTCTAAAGTACAACGGCTGCGCACTCTTCATAGCGGAATGCACTACGGCTTGGCAGCAGAAACAGGCAGGGTACTGGTACCTGCCCGTGCAGGATCATAAGCGGCCCTACCGTCACAAAGTTTTTTTTTCCAAATTTTATGTAATTATAAAAACGAATCATTATCCAATTTAGTTTTCAATCCATTAGCGTTACACGGCCAATAAATTAATTACAAAATCTTACTTACGAGAAAGTTGATTTCTCGATGTTATGTAAAAAAAATAATTGAATGATTGCAATAACAAAAAAAAAACCTTTGAAAGTCAAGCGGTTTTCACTCGCTAATAGTTTTTTTCGTAATCCGACATTGACATTCGTTTTGTAGAATTTCGGTAGACTATTTTCATTATAATATATTTTATTTTTCAACATAATTTACGCACTCATTAAAATATACGAAATTCGGTTGCTATTATTGCAATATACTTTGTAGAATGTTGACATCGCTTGATATAGAAATTTTTACGCAAATACTCGAAGGCCGCTGGTATATTTAGTTCACATGCAATGTTTATTATTTTTTGGGAAATTCAATTTAATTACAATCCAAACAAAATGTATACATGTATACACTCCTGATCGTTACTTAGGTTCCATGGGCGGCGAATAATGTAACGGTCGAAGATATACTGGTTTATAATTGTAATTGTTATAATTGTTGGTAGAGATATTACCATTTGAAGACAAATAATCTCAAGCAAGATGAGTGCTATGCATATAGCATAATAATGACAATGCATAGGTATTCTTATACGCGAATAGCTTTATGTCCAGTAGATCTGTATTTGTATGACACTACATAACACTATATTTGAAGAATACGGATACACTGTGGTTTCACCGGATGTGAAACCACAGTGTATCCTAAGAGATCGGCAAGGACGGTGACCGATTCTTGGAATACCTAAACGCAAGGAGAGTACATAGGGAACATTCGAAATTATCTGTTTAGAGCGAAATTACTCCATTTGGCCATTTGACGGATTCGAATCAAAGCTCACCCTGTTGACATTATGTGAAGGCTTGCAGATATTGTCAAAGGCTCCGAAACAATCAGTGGCAACTCGTAGCCAGCTAACTAGTAAATAATTAGTTCTGTGTTTGAATTATCCATAATTTTTCCATAATTTATTCTACGTTTACATCATTTTTGTTGGGGAAAGCATCTCATACTATCAAAAGACAATCTGGCGATTCACAATTATTTTCAGTGAATTGGTCGATTTTAATACTTTTGATGACAGTCACAGAAAATTGTAACCGGAACACGCCAGTTGATATAAGTCTTGATGATTTACAGAAGCGTATTAAACTATAGTACAATTTGCTTTAACATTATTCACCGAGAACCAATGCTGTCAGCCCTATATGTAACTGATAATTTATAAACTAGCCGAACTAGGGACAGCCTCTATAAAATCAAAAAGTACCCTCTTGTGTCAAAGTCAGGGCTGCCATTCACGTTGTAATATTTGAGACATCAATTTCAAGTTTTAAGGTGGTACTAATATTGAGGTATGAGGTATGAGGCACCAAAAATTGCTTGATTTATGAGAGACGTGAGCAAGTCTGCTTATGTAAACAAAAAGACAACAAAACCGAGAAACTCTGCTTGTATAAATAGGCCCAAAGTGTGACATTTCGTACTCTACACATAACTCAAGCGTTTAAATATTTTGATTCGAGAACTGTTTTAAAAGCAAAACGTGTTTTTTCTTTTTGTATAATTAAATAATAAATAAACATCTATAGCCCAATAGTGGTAGTTAAAAATGAAAAAATTGTCGCCATTATCAATATCATGTAAATTAAGTTACGATTTTTAAAACATTTTAAGACAGCTGTAGACCTTACAAGCGTGCTTAATGGTTAAGTTTCATTAGTTGACACGGGCTCATCTCCGACCCCGAAGGATGCAGCGATGCAGCGGTTTCGCAAGCAGTAGCACACTTTCACTTCATTGCGTCAGAGAGCTTGTTGCGTACAATCCGTGCCGATAATGTTACTTTATTTTAATCGCACGTGCTGGCTTACGATTGCTAATCAATTGTGGTCGTGTAGTATACTGAGTTTCTCGCCGGATCTTCTCAGTGGGTCGCGTTTTCAATCCGGTGGTAGATTCTGCGAAGCACTGCTCTTGCTAGGGCCAGTGTTAACAACACTCCCGGCTTGAGCCCCGTGAGCTCACCTACACGTCAAGGAGAAGCTGAAATAGCCTCTCGAGGCTATCAGCATAGGTAGGGAAAAAAGTGGTCATGCTATATGAGATCCCCTAAGCAAGTATCTTCTTTAGTTTAAACTTCAATTCCTTTGTCGTTTTGTAATTAATTGTTAAGCTTGAAGAGAGAGATTACGCTATGCAGCTTATTATCGACATTTTTAACAATAAATACTTCCCACTTAAATTAATAATTTAAATAATGTATGTCAGATTAATCAATCTCTGTTCTTTTTTTATCATTTATAGTTGAACTAGGCATGGCCTCACGATCTCACATAACAACAGATTTATATTCATCACAGGTTTTTGATTTTTGTTAATATATTCCTATGATCGTATAGCCTTGACACTTAAGATGATTTAAATTGCAAAAATTCCGCTATTTTGCTAAATGTCACGTATATTTTATGATATTGAGTGTCATGCTAAGACATGTTTTTAAGTGCCACGCTATATTTCTGATTTAAAATCATAATATGTATGATATAGTAGGTATGATGATCCATATTAGACTTGAGAAAAAACACAATAATATTGTTTGTTTGAAGTAATCGAAATTATGTGATTGCTTTACTTTGTAGGATATTTGCTTCAATAGAATAAAAAAAAAAAAAATACGATATAAAGAATAAAATGCAAGTATTGTGTTTTAAATATTTAGTTGGAAAATTTTATTTTACTTGCCCAAGCCGCTAAATTGCCCAAAAAATGCGATAGCTGGCAGAGCTACTTTGTGTGTTCTACCCAAGTCGGTATAACAATCCGTCTCTAACTCGTATGTTCCACTTTGAAGAACAAGATGGTTCTTTAATGAAACATGCATCATGTTAAAAGGGTGACTGTGTTACTGGCTATTGGCACCATTCTGCATCAACTAATCCGTGAGCTCTGCCTATTTGCATCTACGCCGATAAAACACTAAATTCAAATCCATGTGGTCTGCACAATAATATTTATTATATTTGACACACAAAAACTTTGCACGCGCTTAAACTATGTCAATACTCTGTGACACGTTCACACATTACGCAATGTACACACTTCATTGCGTAATGTAAAACTTGATCTCTGCCCACCGTGCAGAGCAACAGAAGCAGGGAACCGGACCATTGAATTGTAGACGCTTTCACTGTCCTAATATTCGGGTAACTGTCTTAATGTTATTGGGAACAGTTTGAAAACGATTGTTCAGGATTGTTTCATTATTAAACACTTTTCTGATGGCGAAGGTTGATGGAACATTTAGCTGTTAAAGTTTCTTGTAAGCTCGCATGGGTATGTGACATTAGTCTGCGAAAAAGTCATGCACTGCGGGTCGAAAGATGGTACAAACGGCAATATTACAATAAAGGAGATGTCGATGTCTTGTTTCAATGCGGGAGACAGTATTCACGTTGTGATGTCTCTGGAATCCGGTAACCGCTTAACGCGAATGAGTGGTGATAATGGGTGGTAACGTACCCATCAATAATTTGGTAACTGAAGTTGTGTTTAGCCTTTTTATAAAAAATATCGAATATTTTCGTGTACAGCATTTTTTTTATTGCTTAAATTGGTGGATGAACTCACGGTCCACGCGGCGCTAAGTGGTTACCGCAGTCCATAGACATCTACAACCTAAATGACCCACCTTGACACATAAGTTCTAAGGTCTCACTTTTAACAGTACAAATTTGCTTTAGTACCTCATATTTAGGGCATTAACAATTTACATTTAATTTTTGACAGTCCTCTAAATTTAAATTTCTTCCACAGGCGCCCAATTCAAGTGCCCCGCTAAAGACGGCCAGTATGAAGACGACAGACAATGCGACAAGTTCTTCGAATGTGTCGATGGAGTCGCCACAACCAAGCTCTGCCCGGACGGTCTTGTGTTCGACCCTACTATCAGGAAGATCAACAAATGCGACCAGCCCTTCAACGTAGACTGCGGCGATAGGACTGAACTCCGTAAGTTTTGTGTTTCAGAAATAAAGACATGATTGACAGCAAAACAGTTTTAGAAGCTTATAGGCGAGATTATCGTAAGCATCATTATCCTGCCCTTCTCCCACTCACCTGGGGTCGGTGCAACATGTTTTCTCCTTCCATACTCTTCTATCATATACCATTTCTTCGCTCACTCCCTTCCTACCCATATCGTCTTTCACGCAATCCATCCATTTCTTCTTAGGTCTACCTCTTCCTCTATGTCCTTCCACATTCATAGTTAACATTCTCTTACCAACCTCATTGTCATTTCGTCTCATCACATGTCCATACCATCCCAAGCGCGCACTTCTATATATTTCTACATGTCGCTTGCGAGATTATCGTAAGCGGCATGTATAAATATGTAATTATCACCTATAGTTGGTTACATTAAGAGTTTTATTTCAAGCAGCATCATCGGGTGGATAATATATTAAATGACGAAACTGGTAACTATAGGAGCGTTTCTTTAAGTTTGTTCACATTTTCCTTATACAGGTTCTTCTTTATATAGGTATCTGGTTATAAATTTATAAAGCAGAAACTTCCCCTAGTCTTCTTTATTCCTATGTTGGGCTTTAAGATAAATTTTAAATTATGCCACGGAGCAAACACGTGTTCAAATTCGAGGAGAGGGTTAAATGTTTTTTTTTTGGTGGCAATCCCGTTTGTCTTGAAAAATATTGTTGATTCTTGTACTACCTTACTTATCTAAATATTTATACATACTTGTGTGTTTCTTGTATAATTTTCTTCAACTCTGACTCAACATAATAAATCAGTGATGCAAACGATTATATTGAAACGAATCCAATAAAAAAATGTAAAAAACTGTGTCGCATAATGGCGGTCTTTCCTGCTCAGTCCAATCACGTTGAGTTTATTCTTAGAAATATATTACTGCTGTGCCAATAAATGAAACGATTAATTTCTTAGAGGTCGCTCGTTAGTTCCTATTAAGTGAAGGTGTCTAGGGTACCTTTGACCGATTGTCAGCTTTCTAGGTCGACCGGTCGGTCTAGACACGAGTGTGTGCAATCAAAAGCTCATGTTTGATGGAATATTGATTTTATTAGTAGTTTCTGTTGACCATTATCTCGAGGGTATTATATTACAATTTTAAATCTTCTTTTTCTCCACCTTATCCCACTATGTGGGGTCGGCACAGCTAATTTTTTCTCTTCCATTCTCTTCTAGCAGCCGTCATCTCAACACTCACTCCTCTCTCTCTCATATCGTCATTCACACACTCCATCCATGTCTTCTTCGGTCGACTTCTTCCCCCTCTACCTTGCACTACCATTTCCATACATCTCCTAGTCACATGCATCTTCTCTCTATGCATCACATGTCCATACCCACCACACCATCCACCACATTGTACATTATATTACAATTTTAAATGTACTAGATTAATTACATTATTGTGAAATTCATATTATTACATGAATAAATTTTAGTCACAGAAACAACAATATTTGTAATATGGGTAAAATCACTGATGTAACCTTTGGTACCGTGAAATTAATGCCTGTAGATTTGTTTGTTGATTTTAAAACGAAAAAAATAGAATAAATTGAATGGTTGTAGGGCCTCTTGTGAGGGTAGGTACCACCGCCCTGCTTATTCTTGCCGCGTAGTAGTAATACATTCCGGATAGAAGCATCGCGCAGCAGTGCTACTATAAAACTGAAACTCAGAACTCATTTCTTAAGGGGATGGCTCTGAATTTTGTTGTTGATGTCTATGGACTCCGGTTGCCGTTTAATACCAGATAGACCGTGACGAACTCGTTCAGTCCTCTAAGATATAAAAATTAGCAAAAAATCCTATAAGACGGTTCGATACCTATTTATTGTATTCTTTTTACAAACTAACACTAGATGATAACCGAGCTTTGTTCGGTTTTTTTTTATATAACGCCATCTTGTTGTGTCTTTAAAGCGGTTTGTTGCCCTCAATTAAGAAAAATAGTATTATTATTCGCCAATAGATGTCGGGAAGAGTTGATTATTGAAAACACGAATAAAACAACATTTTCTGAAAATAAATCGTAGCTAGATCGATTTATCGCCCCCGAAATCCCATGTATACTAAATTTTATGAAAATCGTTGGAGCCGTTTCCGAGATTCAGATTATATATATATATATATATATATATTAATATACAAGAATTACTCGTTTAAAGGTATAAGATTCAAATATTCCGTGGAAGCTCGGAATGCGTCGAGCGCAACTCCGTGACCTGTGTTTTAATGGAACCTTTACCAAGATTCTCATAAATTTACGTATTCAAATACATATTATACTTTACTTCAACAAAGTACTGTATGTGCATGCAAATAGCAACCTGTTTAAAATAATTGCATCATAAAATTAGAGAGGTAAAAATAATAACGATTTTTTTCCAACTATCAACCAAGCAAAGAAGAAAGCAAGAGAAATGAGAGAAAGAGAAAAGAGAGCAAAGAAGAAATTGTAATAAATTTAATCAACATTCAACAGTATTTTAATCGGCACTCCACAAAATTTTAATCAATGTCCCATAACATTTTAATAAACTTTAAACCTTTTGTCTACCTAATCGCTGGAAGTCTAAGGGGCTATTCCAGCCACGCGTGGACGTCTAGGTGAGCTCACAGGCTCAACCAGAGAGAATTTGCTAACACTAACCCTAGATAGAGCAGCACCGCTGAATCTACCACCGGATCGCAATCGCAACCCACTGAGAAGATCCAGCGAGAATCTCAGTGAGTTGTTCCTATAGGCTAGGTTCCACGTCGACCTCTCCGTCATCCTATTCGACGAGTTCGACGAGAACGATAACTAACATTACACAGTATACCATGATTATGGAAAAAAATCTCTTAGACGACAATCATTAATAATAGAGTTGCTTGTAATATAATGTAGTTCCAGACGGCTATTTGTCGTTTCCTGATACGCACGACCTCAGCATTGCCCAAGGTCGGGTTAACATCGAAAGTGATAAGTCAAGTTTTCAACGTATTTATACGAATAAGTTGTACTGAAAAGGCGGTTTGCATTGAGAACTTCTTTTTGTGCAATCGATTGTAGCTCCCATTCGTTTTCCGAGATGGTTTCTGCGAAGATTTGCAATATTTTGAAAGTTCACTTGGGTATTTTTGTAAAAAGAATCAAGGACATCGAAGTTTTGTGTCACAGCTGTTTATTGTGAATTTCGGGAATGCTTACCGGTTTGAATATGTTATCCTAAATGCGAACAACAAAACAAGACTGTTCAGTATTTTTTTTCTTCTCTGTTTAATTTAATCTTACTAATAAAAATATTAGACTGTTCTTTCCCATATTTAGAAACAAGATAATATTATTACCAAAAAAATGATTCTAAATTTTGAGGTGTCAGTGATTCGGATAGAACTTAGACTACTGGACAAAAAATTGTGATAAAAAAAACTTTTGTCTGTGACCTAATTGATTTGGTGCACTCACAATCGTCTGATTTTTCTGAGTTTTACGTTTCCAAGTATTTACGTACCTTTCGTGCTAAAAAGGAAGATTATGAACAGAATCGCGCGCTATCTTCTTAAGTACGTATTCGAGATTTTATTACTATATTTAAATAGATCGTTCTCTTTTTTCCAGAGCCCCCCAAGCCCAACTCACAATGTCCCCGCCGCAATGGATTCTTTGCCCATCCCGACCCCTCTGTGTGCAACATCTTCTACAACTGCATCGAAGGTGAAGCCACCGAGGTCAAGTGTACCGCCGGCCTTCACTTCGACGAGTACTCCGGTACCTGCGTCTGGCCCGATTCCGCCGGAAGACAAGGATGTAACGAACAACAAAGTTAGTAAACCAAACAAACAGGCCTCGTGTATTCTTGTTAATCTTTAATGTATATATATAAAAATGAATTGCTGTTCGTTAGTCTCGCTAAAACTCGAGAACGGCTGGACCGATTTGGCTAATTTTGGTATTGAATTATTTGTGGAAGTCTAGAGAAGATTTAAAAGGTAATAAATGAATGAAAAAGCTAGGAATTAAATAAAAATAACAATTTTGTTTTTCCTTTGATGTGTCCCCCGTCGGACGCATTCCTTTTGTTTGTTTTAAGTTTATTTTATACAAACGTTTAGATCTTTTACTTATCGATTGAGGCACTACGAAGTCTGCCGGGTCAGCTAGTATTTCTATAAAACGCTTTAGCAACAAGCCGACAAAAAATACTTATAAAATATTGTATATTGTATCATTGTATATTGTGTATTATATATTTTATTAAACGGTATTCAGCGTCATGGCTTTGCCCCTGACATTGCTGACGTCCATGAGCAACGGTAACCATTCACCATCAGGTGAGCCGTATCTCTGCCTATACGACAATTAAAAAAAAATTTGATCAATTCCATCTTTTATTCGTTGTGGAAACGGTAATTATGGAGTTATTCGAAATGGTTGTCTAATAAGGAAAGAACATTGTGGATCATAAATTCACCGCTGTATTAAGGGTAGTAGTGAGGAGAATAGAAAATGAAACGTTCCAACAAGCACTCACTCCTGTAATATACAAAATTAAACGTAGAAAACATCTCCGTTGTTTTTTTAGATATTTATTAGCAATTGATAATCGATAATAAAATCGATTTGAATAATCGATAATAAAATCGATTTGAATAATCGATAATAAAATCGATTTGAATAATCGATAATAAAATCGATTTGATGGTTTCAGAAAAAACAAAGGACGGCTTCGAGTGCCCCAAAGAGCAGCTGGTTGATGCCCAAGGACAGATCGTCGCTCACCCCAAGTTCCCCCACCCCAACGACTGCCAACGTTTCTACGTATGCCTGAACGGTGTCGAGCCCCGTGACCTCGGCTGCCAAGTCGGAGAGGTTTATAACGAAGAGAGCCAGAAATGCGATGCGCCTGAGAACGTTCGCGGATGGTTTGTACTACAAACTATTTATGACTAAACAGTATCTCTTTTATTTATATAAAAAAAAATATAGCCAGTAACTTTTAATATACTTTGTAAGAAAAATAAAATAACAGGACTTAGTTTTAGTATTATTCGATTAATTAATATTTTTTTTGTTTTGTTTTTCAGCGAGGACTGGTACAAGGACTCTGAGGAAGCCGCACCAGGACCCAAATCGAGATCTTAAGCCGTATAGTGATACTACATTATATTATAATTACAACTTAAGACTTATTAAGTTAATACATTAAGTTAAATAATTGCTGGCGTTTTATTTACCCTAATATTGAATGAAAATTAAACAATTCTATAACATTAAATTAATAATATTTATATTTATATAAAATTTGAAATCACAAAATGTAGGTTTATTTTGGTATATTAAAATAAGGTTTTGCAAAAATTGCATTTATACATAAAACATATACTATTTAACTTGCAACTCTAAAATAAGTTAATATCATTTTGTCAACAACAGGAAATAAAATTGAAAGTGATTCATGAATGTTTCTAGCAGTGCCGTGCTCATGAGTGACACCATAATTTATCCCGAAATATACTAAAGCCTTACTTCTGCACTAATGGACATACAAGACGATAATATGTCCTTCTTTAAATAAGGTTAGCGGAGAGTAAAAAAATAGCAATAAAAAAAAGTAGCCAGCGGTCTGACTATGCCTATGGAATTGCTCACGTCCAAGAGCCGCGACTTTCAATAACTGTCAGATGAACCGCACGCCGGTCTTCCTACAAAGGCATTAAAAATGATAAGCTTACAGAAACCCTTTTTATTTTTCACACATTTAAATTAAAACCTAGTTGAGAGCCAGATAAACCTATTGCCCATATGGTGTTAAGTGGTCGCCGGAGCCCACAATCGTTATAACAAGCAACACCGACCATTTATAAATATATCATTAGTCGTACGTTGTGTTGCTATAGAGGAAGAGGAAAAGGTAGACCTGATAGAAAAATGGATGGCATGCGTGAAATGGTATATGATAGAGGAGTATGGAAGGAGAAAACATGTCGCGCTGACTCCAGGTGACTGGGAGAAGGGCAGGATAATGATGATGATGATGATGATGATGCTATTTCTGGGGCTAAAGCCGTTTGAATGCACGAAAGTCTCTGCCGGGTGATACAAGATCTGTCGCGTCTAACATCAGATTCGACGTTAAAATAATTGAATATATCAATCCTGCCAGAGTCAACATTCCCGTAGGACAGGGAAAAGGTTAATCAGAAAGTCAATCCATTGCATTTATTATAGATAGGTAGGTGGTTTTACGGACAATTTCATTGCCAACTACAAACTCTGTTTCAAATACATATAATATATCATAACGTGAATACTCCACGTGTTTCACGAACCACCCTTGAGGCATGAGGTCGAAGCGTCTCAAGTTTATTATGCTACTTCTTCATTTTGCGTCAATACCAATGACGCATCTTATTTAGGACTTCACAAGTTCTTATCCTGTTCTAATATTTTTTTTGGTTTTTACTGGTGGTAGGACCTCTTGGGAGTCCGCGCGAGTGGGTACCACCACCCCGCCTATTTCCGCCGTGAAGCAGTAATGCGTTTCGGTTTGAAGGGTGGGGCAGCCGTTGTAACTATACTTGAGACCTTAGGACTTGTATCTCAAGGTGGGTGGCACATTTACGTTGTGGATGTCTATGGGCTCCAGTAACCACTTAACACCAGGTGGGCTATGAGCTCGTCCACCCATCTAAGCAATAAAAAAAAAATGTGGTCAGGCCTACCATACACTAGGTGAATTGAAAAATCAATTCACCAAAAGGGCAGTAGGGTGTTTTAAGCTAAGTAAAACCACATTTGTATTATTAGAAAAACAGCGAACACATTATTAATTAAGGCTGAGTATAGCTTGACAGTTTCCACGTAAAGCACTTACTCGCAATGATGTGCTAATTAACTTATATAAAATATATACGAGTGTGCCTACATTATTATTTATATATTTCACAAGGCATCAATTCCAAAAAGGTTATAATTCAATTTAATTAAAAAAAAAGAAAATTTAGTTATTTAGTGCCTCAAAAATACAAAAAACCCTAACAAAAGAATGAAATAATAAACATATTGGCACAGAACGGACACCCAGCTCAGATTTATACTACTCGTACAGATTGGACTGACACAGACTGTAGTTCAATTTTATCTTTTTTTTTTTTTATTGCTTAGATGGGTGGACGATCTCACAGCCCACCTGGTGTTAAGTGGTTACTGGAGCCCATAGACATCCACAACGTAAATGCGCCACCCACCTTGAGATATAAGTTCTAAGGTCTCGAGTATAGTTACAACGGCTGCCCCATCCTTCAAACCGAAATGCATTACTGCTTCACGGCAGAAATAGGCAGGGCGGTGGTACCCATCCGCGCGGACTCACAAGAGGACCTACCACCAGTAATTACGCAAATTATAATTTTTCGGGTTTGATTTTTGTTACACGATGCTATTCCTTAAATGTGGAAGTCAATCGTGAACTTTTGCTGAGTACGTAAATCATTAGAAAAATTGGTACCCGCCTGCGGGATTCGAACACCGGTGCATCGCTTCAACAGGAATGCACCGGACGTCTTATCCTTTAGGCCACGACGACTTCTAGACCCGTTTGTAGTATTTGCAACATTCAGACTGCGTAGTAACAGTGCAAACTTGAAATACATAAGCTATTTAACATATTACACAGCAACAATAACTTAAATATACTATTATTAGTGCATTGTAAACCATCCTAATCGCAACCTAAAATTATTAGTGCAAAATGCAACATAAGTAAAAATAACATTCTGTGTATCGCTCGTAATCTCGGTCTTTATTGGTTAGAATGTGGTTTTTACCTAAACTTTGATACACATATACTGTGCACATCCAGTGTTATTAGGGCAAAAATAACATAACGAAAGAACTAAACCTAAATTATTTATAAGCCACGATAGCAAATCTTTTAGTGTAAACCTAAATTCAATTAGCTTTTGTTAGTGCCGAACTCCTATCGCAGCATATTATCATAATTATAACTAGATTCTTGTGCGCTGACCGACAACGCCTTAAGTAAGTCGAATCGAATGTACAGACCTTGACCAATAAGATAATATACTTAATTTGTAGCAACGTACAATAATATCTAGGTGGTTGAATTTAGTATATGTGACAAACAAATTCTTGTATGATAGGTCTCGTGACACTTAATATTTAAAGCTAGCTGTAACGCCAGACGCTGTCTTGGCGAGTTTCAATAAAATTGCGCGTTTTGTTTTAAAATTTTCGAGAATATTCTATTCTATTCTCTATATTCATTCATACTGTGAATATAAAAAAATAGCGAAATCGATAAAGTTGTCCTCGAGTTATATATATTACAATTTGGTAGCCATATATCTACGAGTATGTATGACTTTTTTTTTTTTTTTTCTTAGGATTGAAAGATTGCTGGTGGCCCGGAGGCCTTTCCAGTTTCACCAGGACAGGTTGGCGAGCAAAGGCTCAGCCAGGAGGGGTGGGATTTGCTAACAGCTACCCGAGCGCCTCCAAGGAGACCTAACAGCTCAAGAGTAGCAACTTCGCGAATGAATTTACTACCGGATCGGAATCGCGACCCGCTGAGAAGATCCGGCGAGAAACTCAGCGAGCTAATTCATGGGTTAGGTTGCACGGCGAACTCTTTGTGGAGTTCGACGAGCACGGTTACCGAGGTCCCTAAGCCTGCTCCTAGTGTTAGAGCTGAAGGCGTCTAATGCAAAGGTTATTGGGTCTGATGAATCCGTAAGGACGTGTCTAGGGCGTCGACGGTGACTGGCTCCTGCGTGATCAGGATTCGGGGAGTAGTCAGCGGCGGCAACGATAAGATCATGACGCATAGCCTTATCGAAGTACCGTTCCGACGCTGACTTCATGTATTTCTGGATAGATTCGAGGCCCAGGTCGTCGTGTAGGTCAACGTTCGTCACGAACCACGGAGTTCCGACGGCTAACCTGCAAAAGCGGGATTGTAGAGATTGGAGGGTGTCTATGTTTGTGCGGGCCGCGTGAGCGAACACCACACTCGCGTAAGTCATGACGGGCCTTATGCAAGTTTTGTAAAGTGTCACCTTGTTCCGAAGGGACATTTTACTCCGCTTACAGATCATGGTTTATATGCGGGTAGGTACTACAGGTAGGACTCGGTAGAGTCTACCGAGAATAAACGCGGCACGGTCACGGACTGATTTTATATGCGGGCAGAATGTCATCGATGCATCCAGGGTAACGCCCAGGTACTTGACCTTCCTGGCCCAGGGTATGGGTTGTCTAGAGAGAGTAATCGGGGGTGTGAGATTCGTCCTCCTAATCCGGGAGGAAATCCGTGTGGAGCTTCCCCTCTGAAATAGCACCGCAGTACTTTTCTCTGGGTTGATGTCTATTTTTATTTTATCTTAAAGGTAGGTAGATAACAAAATCTTGTAATATAAATGTAAAAATAAAAATTAATATAAAAATACAAAATACTAATCTGTGTATAAATTGTAAATTCAAATTTTTTTCATTAAATTTTATTAATAATTTAAAACATTATAATATTATTTACAAAGGCCTGCATCAAAATTAATTCAACATTACATCAAGATTTGTCATTCATAATATGCTATTATGATAATTAACATAAATTTAACTGAAACTTCGTAATTCGTGTATTGTAACTAAAGTTGACTAAGAAAGACAATTCTATGATTGCTGTTGTAACTAAGTCAAGGACGTTTACCTATGTATTAGAAATCCCTATTCAAATACTGTATTTCCGCACTGAATCATACGTTTATTTCTATTAATGGTTTTATAGTTGTTTATAATACTTCGCCGTGGACTTTACAGGAAATACTAAAAGTGTGCGTGATTTAATTACATCCGTCAACGAGTATCCGACAAAGGCAGGACTACTCGGTTTCTTTCCCTGGTTTTTTATTTTTTTAGTTTTTTTTTATTGCTTAGATGGGTGGACGAGCTCACAGCCTGGTGTTAAGTGGTTACTGGAGCCCATAGACATCCACAACGTAAATGCGCCATCCACCTTGAGATACAAGTTCTAAGGTCTCAAGTATAGTTACAACGGCTGCCCCACCCTTCAAACGGATTTTTTCAGGACTATGCCTATCTTATTACGCTTCGTGTATACATATATTCATTTGTATGTAACGGAATCTTCAAAAGTCATTTTTCACCGAGTTAGAATAAACTG